GGGGGGGACCGGGCCGCGGCAGCCGGCACAGATGGCAGCGCGGGCAGCGGAAGCTGCGTGGGCGGCTGAGAGCGGGCGTGCGCCCCGCGGGGCCGGGCTGGGGAGGGTTCTCCCGAGCGCGGCATCGCCGCAGGCTCTGCAGCGCCCAGATCTTTGTATTTTTTTATATATAAAATGTATTTTTTTAACGGTGTGCTACGCCCTGACTGCGTTTGCCTTCCTCCTAGGCGATAGCCCACTACGAGCAGGCTGCGGATTACTACAAAGGGGAAGAGTCCAACAGGTAAAGGCTCTGCCGCTCTCTCCGTGCGGGATCGGCGCTGCGGCACAGCCCGGGGCGGCTCAAGCAAACAGATGGTGGCCGAGTTTCTGTCTCCAAAGCGACTTCCCCCTCTGCAGCAGGCGGCGTTGCGTGTCTTCGCCGCTGCCCGCTTCCTTCCTCGCCCTCACCGCCGGCTTCTGGCCCTGGCGAGGGCTGGCGGCGCTTGCTGCGTGCCGTGCCGGGGGGAGAGGAGGGCTCCCGGCACTCCCGGGCTTTGTGGGAACCCCAATTCCCGGCGCTCGGGTGGGAGCTGGGGCGGCGGCGGCGCGGGGAGGCCTTGCCGGCGCTGCCCGCAGCTTTCCCCGCTCTCCGTTTCCCCGCAGCTCTGCCAACAAGTGCTTGCTGAAGGTGGCCACTTACGCGGCCCAGCTGGAGCAGTACCAGAAAGCCGTGGAGATCTACGAGCAGGTAGCCCGCTGGCGCTGGGGGGCCCCGTCCTCCCTCTCCCCCCGCCCAAGACCCTCGTCGGGAGAGACTCCCGGCCGCAGCCCCTGGGCGGCGGGGGGCTCGTCCCTCGGGAAAGCTGCCGTCCCTCCCGCTCGCCTCCCCAGGTGGGCACCAGCGCCATGGACAGCCCCCTGCTGAAGTACAGCGCCAAGGAGTACTTCTTCAAGGCCGCCCTCTGCCACTTCTGCATCGACATGCTCAACGCCAAGGTGCGGCCGGGGCCCTCGGGGCTAGTGGCTCTGCTGGGACGCTTGCCGCCGCCCTCGACAAGCCCCCAGAGCCAGCCCACCCGCGTGGGCCCCTCCTCGGCCCTCTCCTCCTCCTCCTCCTCCTCCTTCCTCGGCCCTCTCCTCCTCAGCCCCCTCCTTCTCAGCCCTTTCCCTCTCCTCCTCATCCTTCTCCGTCCTCCTCATCATCCTTCTCCCTCTCCTCCTCTTCCTCATCCCTCTCCTCCTCCTTCTCCCTCTTCTGCTCCCTCTCCTCCTCCTTCCTGTCGTCCTCGTACTCCTCCTCCTCCTTCTCCCTCTTCTGCTCCCTCTCCTCCTCCTCCCTCCTCCTCCTCATCCCTTTCTCCTCCTCTTCCGCCGCAGCTGGCCGTGCAGAAGTACGAGGAGATGTTCCCGGCCTTCACGGACTCCAGGGAGTGCAAGCTGGTCAAGGTGAGCAGCACAATTCCCTCCTTCCTCGCCTGCGTCACCGGGACGGCAGCGCCAGCGGGGCCGGGATCGCGGCCCGCTCCCGGGGAGCGCTCGAGGGGCCGGGAGCGCCGTGCAGCCTGGCCGCTCCCCGGGGGGCTCCTGCCCGCGCTGGGCTGGGCTCCGCGCCCCCCGCCGCGCCCCGCGTCTGTTCGGAGGAAGGCGGGGGAAGGCTCTGCCTCTCCCCTCCCTCATCCCCTCCGCTCCCCTCTCCCAGAAACTGCTGGACGCTCACGAGGAGCAGAACATCGACGCCTACACCGACGCGGTAGGTTTAACGCCGCCGCCAGGAAAAGGCGGGAATTCGCCCCAAACGCCAGGCTGGGAGGGCTGTGCCTTCCCCAACGCCGCCTCCCTCCTCTTCCTCTCCCCCCGCAGGTGAAGGAGTACGACTCCATCTCCCGCCTGGACCAGTGGCTGACCACCATGCTGCTCCGCATCAAGAAAACCATCCAGGGCGAGGAGGACTTGCGCTAGGCGGCCGCCCCGCCTTTTCCCCACCACGTCCCCGCCTTGTTCCCCTTCTCCGGAGCCATTCCCGTTTTCCGGAGCCGCTCCCGCCCGGCTCCGCCCCCCCCTTTCCTTGTACATGGCCCCCTCTTCAGATATTTAATGTAATATATTCCCCGCGAGCCCGGGTCTTCAGCTCTCCCCCTCTGCGCCGGGGGTCCCCCCGTTCTCCCGGGGGGCTGCGGGACTTTGTGTCCCCCCGGCTCCTCCCCAGGGGCGAGGAGGAGGAGGAGGAGGAGGAGGAAGGCGCTGCTGCATGCGTTGGCGTCGCTGGCTGTCGTGCGTCCTCGCAAAGGCAAATAAAAGCTTGCATGTGCCGAGCCCTGTGTGTCCCCCCCCCGCAGGATCACGCTGCCCCCGGCCTCCTCCAGCCTCCCCGGGCTGCCTTGATTAATCTTAATTAATTAATGAGGGTCCCTGTCCTGCCCCCCCCCCCCCCCCTGGGGCGCCCTGGGGGGCTGATGTGCTGGCCACCGTG